ACCATCTTTTGTTGTAATGTATTGGTGGGCCTAATGGATATAAATGTTATCCAGAAGACCAGTGTTATATTGCTTGCCTTTGTTCAACCTTTGCCACAGGGGGTTGTAACCAATTAAACCCCTTTTGCCATGAGTAATTACACAAATGTGTATATTAGTGCCTCCTCATGGTTTGGTATGCCACATCACTCATGAGCTCCTTCCCTCCCACAATGCCATCTGCCCTCACTCCCTTGCACTGCGCCTGTCACCTCTCCAACACCTGCCAACTAGTATCCTGCTCCAGCTGCTATTTATTCAGTCTCTCACTGCTGCTTCAACCTCTGCTACAGCTGTGCCAAACCCCACTTCTCCCTCTTGGTTCCCCTGATCTCCCTTAGCCTCTCTGCAGCATTCTCTATCCCCCTTCTGTTTTTGGCTGTGTACTCCTGGAGGGCGCCAGTGCCCAGATTCCCTGTGTTTGGCCACCTCAAAACTTTGCACATTCAATTCCCACTATCTCTGTGTTTTCCGCAAACTTACAAAGCTCAACTTTCTATGCTGCAGTCACCCGCATTCCTCAGACTGGATGCATTCCATCATCACAACACACATCTGTCAATGGTTGTTGGGAGTTGTCAAATAATCTTTAGGAGTTGTTTAACTAACCCCCTATTTCGATCTGGTGGAATTTCTCTTTCATTGATGCATTAAAGGGTTTGAAGTTGAGAGATTTGGTTATAACCATACCCCAATAACATACAGGGGCTCAGTGGCAGTATAAATTAAAAAACGGTTCTACAACTTAATTGAAACCTTGAGTGATTAGTGTTCAGCCATGTTGCTGAACCATACCAAAATTGGCTTACCCAAGGGGGATAAATTTAAAGAGGGGTCTACTGTATTTTTTCCAATCCCTGATATGAAAAAATAATCACAGATTGTGTGAAAGAACTTTTGAATTCATGAATTTTTTAAATGACTCACAGAAGTGTGATCTTGAAGAGAAACCAGTGTGATTGGTGGGTCTACAGGTGCTCATGGCATAATGCATTGCTCAAGGGTTGTTGGTATTTCACTTGGGTTTACCTCTTCAGGTGTAGATTCATATTGGAGAAAACTTCCTTTATTCATGGAAGCTTAATTAAATCAATCAGAGATGTCAGCAGGTACCCGGCACCTGTTTGGAGGTAAGTGTTTTCCAAAGCAGGTACCCAGAAACAGGGTCTGGGTGTGGATGCGGGTGTTTACATTTGAGTTGAAAAAACAGGCAGGTACCCAAAAGGTACCCCCACCTGACACCCGCCCTGATAATTGTTGTAACCCACAAGGGGTTACGGGCCCTGAGACTCGCCGCAGTCCCTATATATCTCTGCCTCGGATGCAGATCCGAGGGAGAGACCTTACGGAATCTACCATATTTTCATCCTCTTCTCCGAGATTCCCGTGTGAGGTGCGAACAATAATGTATCATAAGGGTCTTGTTCACCAGAGAATTTTCATCAACATCAATTGACTTGAGGAGAAATAAGAAACAGATTACATGCGTGAAGCTGATGTATCTTAAAGATGAGAGAAAAGAATACAAGTGTTTGATCATTGGTCCGCAAACTTACACATATTCATACAGATTTTGTGGACAAAAATACCTGGAATCTGTGGTGGTGCAAATGATACAGTTCATCATTATATATGTGGGATTTGAACACATAAAAATGGAGGAAGAGATTGGTCATGCATGGAGGGATTGCAATGGAAAAAAATGAATGTACAGTCACCTACCAGATGTTTATAGCAAGTTTGTTTGGATTTCAAACCCCAACACATTAACTTGAAAACATGCAACTTGGGCAAGTGGCATGAAATATGTTTCCAAAAATGATTCTGAAAGCAAGAATACAAAAAACTAATTTTTAAAATTTGCAAAAAGTATTACAGTTATTTCACTTTTTTCAGGAGTTTTAATTCAACTTGCATTTTGAAGTGGATACTGAGCTCTGGATAATTTCTGGAGTTTATTTTTTCATTTATTATCATTTTACTTGCATACCATACAACTCTTTCCAACTTTTATTTTATCATTGGAGCAATATTGAAACTTTTGAAAAAAGTGCAATAATTGTAATATTTTTTGCAAATTTCACAAATGAGTTTTTCACACTTTTGCTTACGGAATCATTTTTTGGAAACCTAGTTTATACCACTTGCCCAAGTATCATGATTTCAGTTTAGTGGTTTGGGGCTGTGTAATCCAAACAAACTGGCTATAAAAAATAAGAGTAGAAGGAAGAAGGTATTAATTGGAAAGGAAGAGGGAACAAGTTTTATTTGGTGGTTTAATTGCTTTGTGATGGTGATGTTGAATTTTTGAGCTTCTGACAGGATGGCAATGAGGATTTTTGAGAGATGGCACAAAAAAGTGGAGGGC